TGTTTTTATTGAACCTTAAAAAATTAAAGTGGAAGAGCTAAAAAAAAAAAAAAAAGTGAGACAATGAACAAATGCCTTGAGGGCCAGCCCTGGCACTCCTGTCTGTTTGCATTTCTTTGGGAAAGATCGTTTAAACTCTTAGGACTTTGGTTTTTCTTCTCTAAAATATGGTTAATAGCAGTTTCCTACTTACCTCACTGGGTTACAGTGGCAATCAAATAGACCCTTATTAAATAGATGAAAAGGTACTTCAAAAGAAAACTCCATACAAGCACAGTGAGTTCCCCTAATTAATCATGTTTCTTTCATCAGCCAAGATACCTATTTCCAGGAGACTGAAAAATAAATAGCTTGCCAGACTTTATTTGGCTTGCAGCAGTGTGACTGGCCAGAGAGCCGTGGAGTCTGACAAACCAGCCTTGTCGTTTAGTTTCTTCCAGATACCTGTGCTTAGCACTTTTGCAGGGCCACTGGCAGGGCACAAAGTCCATATAAGCAAGTGGCAAGGCTGGATGAGCAGGTGTGTGCTTTCTAACTTACTCTGTTTATCAGGCAGGGGCTGGGGTAGGGGACTGTTAATGAGTTTTATCCCAAAGAATCCACCCTTACTTCTCAGGTAGAAGTTATTTTTAAATATGTGCTCATGGGTAATTGGTCCAGTTTTATTTAGAATGAAATCTTGCAGTCTATGGGGTGAACTGAACCTACATGTGACCATTCTCTTAAAACAAGCTGATGCCAAGGCTGTTCAGGGCTGTGCCAACTTGAGGCTGTCAGAACCTCTTCCAACTCGGCCGACCTGGCCTTTTTTCCCTAGGATTAGGATCTTGTCCCGCATTTCCATTTACTTAGATGGGTCTGACATAGCCAGCAGGCTCCTGCCACACTGACTGAATGTGCAAGCCATTTAAGCAGAAACAGGGGTCGTGTTGGAACTCAGATGCTGGCTGTGGCTGCTGAGGCTGCAGCCAGTTCAGGCCTCCCACCCACTCCCTACAGTCCAGCCCTGAGACCTCATGGTTGGAATCATGTCTACAGGAAGGCTCCTTGTCCGCCTACCCATTTATGGGCTGAAGTGCTGGCACACTTCAGGGACCCCTGGAGCAGAAGCTACCTCTTTCTATACTGCTCACAGGCAAGTTCCAGGGAGGGAAGAAGAACAGGCAGGGCTGTGCACACAGCACCTTTGCCCAGTCTCACCAGTCAGAGAAATTGTACCTCATTCCATGGGGAAGAGGGTGAGGGCAGGGAAGATCAAGTGAGAATTGCCAGACCTTCCAATGCCAGAAAGTCCTCCTCAACAGGTCAAGATAGGAATGCTGTGGGATGAGAAAGTGTTTCCATCTGCATCATCTACCACGAGATAGTAGTTGTTCCTACAGCTTCTCTCGCCAAGTTTCAAATCCATTCCCTGCCCCTGTACTGTTGTTGGATCAGAGGACACATAGCATTCACATGACAATCCAGTGGGGCAGTAATGTGCTTCGATCTTGTTAAGGCATTAGACCAAATCTCTTGAGACACCCTTGTGGTGGTTATGACAAAACAGGTGGTGGGTATACAGCTGTACTGTGGGCACCACTCACCTTAGATAACAGCATGGAAGGAAGACGTGGCTGAGCAACAGACCACCTGCCGTATCTTTATACAGATGAGTTGAGCCTAAATGCAGCCTCAACTAATACGTATAGTTAGTGCACATTGTGCAGCTAATTGGAGCACTGTCAGTGTGAGCAAGCAGGACACGTGCTCCCGTTACTACAGTTCATCCTTCTGGTTTTAGTTCATTTTTGTCTGTGAGGATTATTTGGATTTTTAGTTTATCATCTAATTGATCAACACCAATTTCGAACAGGTATTGAGTACTTTATGCCATTTCTAAAAAGAACATCTTGGGGTCTTGGTGACCCCAAACTCAGACTTAGCACCATGGCAACACAGGAAGTGAAGAAGAGCTGTAAGAAGGTTCTGTGGCTTAGTTCGCTGTGGGAAGCCGTTTCACCTCTCTAAACCTAGGTTTCTCATCTGTAAAGTGGTCATGATAGTAGTACCTGTGTCATACCATTTATATACCTGTGTACACAAATATGTGTCTCTATACATTTAGCAGCATAGTGGCTGGTGTGTAGACAGCACTCAGTAAACATGGACACAACTGCAGAGAATATGAATGGAGGTCTGAGCTCCAGATGGTCAGGGGAAGGACCTGGTCTGACTCTGTCAGAACACATGAGGACTCACGTGCTGAATCACAGAGGCACTCACACATTACCTCTGGAGCCAGGGCTCTCAGGAGCCTTAAGGTCACCGTGGGGATTGGACACTACCCCCTCCAAGCAGAACAGCTCCACTCTTACCTACTGGGTACAGATAGTGTGTGTGCACATCTGTGTGTGTGTGTGTGTGTGTCTTTCTGTCTCTGTCTCTGTCTCTCTCTGTCTCTCTCCCTCTCTCACTCCCCACCCCACCCCATGTCTTAGGGATTCTCAGTTGAGTGAGATCTTGTCCCTAAGGGGACATTTATCAATATCTGAAAGCATTTTTGGTTGTCACAACCTGGGTAGGAAGCAGATTGCTGCTGGCATCTAGTGAGTGGAGGCCAGGGATGCTGCTAAACATCCCACAGTGCCCAGGACAACCCATAACAAAGGACTATCCAGCCCCAAATGTCGGTGATGCCAGGTTGAGGAAGCCTGCTATGCATGCCTATGTGTATGGCGAGGCAGCGGGATTCTCTGCATGGCTTTTACTTGGTAAGAATCCAGGAAAAAATAGAAGACCAGCATTATATAGTGTACCTGGAAAAAAATACCTGATTGCTAAGCACTTTGAAAAAACCACATCCCTTAGGAGAACCTGAGTGTGGGGCCTGAGCCCAAGGCCAGAGGGAAGAACAGTCTACAGAGAGTCCTAGCACCATCCACAAAGACAAGGTGTCTTGAGAGTTCAGAGTTGCTCCAGGCCTAATGGGATGAGGACACAGGGAAGCCACTTTGGCCAAATGAAAGGATTCTGCTTGGGATTAGAGTTGTCTAGTTGAGAAGCCAGACAGCCGTGGGAGGGGTGGACAGCCTGTATGGTGGATATGTGATGTAGACTGCTTTTACATCAGTAAAACGGTTGATACTGAAACAACTGGATTTTAGAAATTCACACCATCATTTTTGATGGCTGCATAATATTCCATGGTGTATATATACCACATTTTCCCTGTCCAGTCTGTCATCGATGGGCTCGTGTCCTTTGTAGGGACATGGATGAACCTGGAGACCATCATTCTCAGCAAACTGACACAAGAACAGAAAATGAAATACTGCATGTTCTCACTCATAGGAGGGTATTGAACAATGAGAACACATGGCCACAGGGAGGGGAGTACTACACACTGGGGTCTGTTCGGGGGAATGGGGGGGACAGTGGGGGGTGGGGAGTTGGAGATAGCATGGGGAGAAATGCCAGATATAGGTGAAGGGGAGGAAGGCAGCAAATCACACTGCCACCTGTGTACCTATGCAACTATCTTGCATGTTCTTCACATGTACCCCAAAACCTAAAATGCAATAAAAAAAATTAAAAAAAAAAAGAAATTCACACCATGTTTATGATGTATGCATTGTATCAAGTGATCACCTGTTTGTTTCCTGCCTTTATTTGACCCTCTGCCTGACATTGATGAAAAGGGGGAAGGTGATCTCCTGGACACCGGGAGCTGACCCTTTAACATGAGAACATACTAGAAAACCGTCCTGCAGCTCAGCCAGTCTATATGCCACTTGAGGATTATTTTTCCCTTCAAGACCAAGTTTAATATCGATCTGATCATATTTTCCCTTACTACCAGGATCTGATTAGGTAACTCTAAGCCTCTGGTGAAAAATCATCTTTGAATATTAGGATGATTTGCCATTTTGATTGCTGTTTTTATAGATCAAAAAACATCAGATATTGGCAATTTATGATTCATCCTGCTACAGCATTGTAAGTGACGACTTGTAATTTCTGTATGCAATACTTTATATCTTTCCTAGAGAAACTCTGTACAAATGCCCACATCCCTGTTCAGACCTCTGGGGAAAATGAGCATCTCCAGCTAAGCTGTTAGCTGTGTCTGAACAAGCAGCACTCACCAGGAGCCAAGCCTTGGCTGGCTTACCTGTAATGAACCCTTTCCCAGCAGACACAAAATGAGCTCCTGTGTTTTAACCAAGTGGCTTGTCCTCACCTTTTGTATCTGCCCAGTTGGGAGAAGAGAGCTTCTTTTAAACCTGAGACCCTCCAAAAAACACCCCCCATCCCCATCTGTTGGCTTTGTTCCTCAGCATTTAAAAAGGAATGGGGAACCTTGAAAAGACTTCCTAAGTGAAATAAGCCAGACATAAAAGGACAAATAGTATATCATTCCATTTCTATGAGTTACCTGGAATAGGTGTATTTGCAGAGACAGGAAGTAGAGGAGTGATTGCCAGGGGTTAGGGGGCGGGGAATGGAGAGTTGGTGTTAAATGGACACAGATGGTGGTGATGGCTGCACAGCAGTGTCAGTGTACTTAATGCCACTGGAACTGTACACTTAAAAATGGTTAAAATGGTAAATTTGATGTTATATATATTGTCACATTTTTAAAAAGAGGCCAGCTTGCTTATTGCCATATGCTAAAACCAGATTCAACCTTGATGAATTCAACCTCCCTAAAGAGAGGGAGTGGGAAAGTGCCTAATACTCCATCTTTACACTGTCATGACACCTAAGTGAGATTAGGACATGGCATCACCAGCTGGGCTCCTTAAAATGTTTCCCTTTCCACCAGGGCCATCTTAGAGAGACCATATATTCCTGTTGGACTGAGAGCACTTTAGTGACTTTTGAGTGTGTGCTAAGCCCTACTTCCCTTTCTCTGGAAGGATGAAATTGTTCAGCTTTTTGGATCTTGGTGTCTTAGAAACAGAGAGCTCTGTGTTCAGGCCTAGTAATCATCCTCTGGCATATTTTTGGTTTTCCAGGACAACTACTAAAGCTTATCCACAGTCTCCAAAGACAGCAAAACCTCCCTACTCAGGGTCTCCCGTGAGGTACCGCTTACCTCCCCTTTCCAGCCAAGAGATGCCCAAGAAGAAAGCAGATAAAGAGAAGAGCAACAAGGAAAGGGAAGGTGCCTTGACTCAGCAGACTGCTGGCCCGCAAGGGGAGGAAGCCCCAGAGAAGCACATAGTGGACAAGCATGCCAGCGAGAAGCACACTGCTGTCGCCGGAGGGAAGGCCGAAAACAGTGCAGGTAGATGCTGCCCCCGTGCCTTAGCTGTCCTAAGACGGTTCTCCTAGACCCAATCCACATGCCATTCTCTTTTGTTTTGGGGAGGGAGAGAGATTTTTCCCTGGGGACAACTTCATTCCCTGGTGCAGCTTTCTCAGGTTTGCACATGGCTCCTGAGTTCTTGCCTTCAGTCTTCTGAGGTCCCCTGGAGGAGACCTAGGGGCTGACTCCACTCATGGCTGTGGAAGCTCACAGGGATGCTCAGTTAAGACAGGCTGTGTTCAGCCTGCGTCTGCACCTCACATAAGAGATCATCTTCCTTTAGTCTTTCAGGCTTCTATGATGCAGCGAGTTCACCCAGATGGTGGCTGCTGTGGCACTTGCTAGTGGCCCTGTATTTCCTCCTCACCTTTCCATTGTCTTCCACTGTAAAATGCGTTTAAGGTCACATCCAGCCTATGACAGCTTCTCTTGCTTGGTGGTTGATTGGCTGGTCTGGACAGCATTTCCCATCACCACACTGGGTTGGATTTTTTTCACTTTCAACTGGCAGCTGCTGTGTGAGTGCAATCATTATGTTCATTTCCCTTGACCTTTTTTCTTCTTGATGACTCTCCTCTGGTGCAGCCTTGGGGAAGCCCACAGCAGGCACCACTGATGCAGGAGAGGCTGCAAAGATCTTGGCGGAAAAGAGAAGACAGGCCCGGCTACAGAAGGAACAGGAGGAGCAAGAACGACTGGAGAAGGAAGAACAAGATAGGTATGCGAGTGCTCAGTTTCAGTGTGATCCCGTGTAAACATTGTGTTGGCAAGAGCAACCTGCCTTTCTTTTTACAGCGTTGGTATTGGTAAAACTTGAACAGAAGTATGGGAACCTAGAATGTCTGAACTACATGGAAGGTGTTCAGGAGACTGTGTCTAATATTAGATGTAATTATTAACAACAACAATGGAACTTTGCTCTTTTCGGAGGACCTGGAAACTCAAAGCTCTTGGATCTAAATGGCACAGGCATCTTCCCGTTCTCCTCTTGGACTTTGGGGCCAGGCAGGCCTCCTAGAGCTATCAGGGGAGTTTGAGCTTTGTTTACAGAATGAGATTCTCCCTGGGAACGAAGGCGTGGTAGGGACGGAAAAAACATTAAATAAAAGAGATTCTCCCTGGGAAGACAAGAGGTTCTAGATTCTGGTTTCAGTCTTGATTCTGATTCCCAAATTTTTTCCTCCCATCAAACTATCGTAACTCACACTCCAAAGTAAGAGAGAGAGGGGAGGGTTGAGGAGTATCCCCTAGGCATAGGGTTGTATGGAGGGGAAGCCTCATAATCCAAGAACAGTAAGGTATGGGGAGTCCCATCCTGGAGCAAGGCAAAAGACATCATTGCAGTGGTCCCTAAACCTTGGAGAGCATCAGAATCATCCTAGGAATGCAGTAAAAATACATGAACTCAGCCCTATTCTGTTTTAGTAGCTTGCTAGGGTTTGAGAAACACTTCGATGTTAGTATCAGGGTACTTTGTCACAATACAGACAGTCCTTCCTTTTCTGGTCTTTTTATTTAGAGAGGAAAGCATGTTGGAGGACAAGGTCGATTTTATCATTAAATTGATAAAGGAAGCTGTTAGGCTAATCACAGAGTACAATCCAATACTGTTTAGAGAATTAACATGACAGGAAGCAGGCAATGTTGTAGCACTTCAAGGCCAGCACCAAATTTAGAATAATAAATAATAGAACATTCTTGATCTTTTAATGACCTTGGTAAGTCTTTGTGGTGTCTGATTACAGGTTTGCTGATCTTTTTTTTTGGGGATGGAGTCTTGCTCTGTCGCCCAGGCTGGAGTGCAGTGGCCTGATCTCCACTCACCACAATCTCCGCCTCCTGGGTTCAAGCGATTCTCTGCCTCAGCCTCCAGAGTAGCTGGGATTACAGGTGCGTGCCACCATGCCCAGCTAACTTTTTATATTTTTAATAGAGAAGGGGTTTCATTTGGCCAGGCTGGACTTGAACTCCTCACCTTGCGATCCACCCGCCTCGGCCTCCCAAAGTGCTGGGATTGCAGGCATGAGCCATGGTACCCAGCCTGATCTATTTTTTGAAAGCGGCAGTGGGGTTGGTCTGGATGGTCCCTTCTTGAAATTCAGGACTTCTTTGATTGTTTTCCTGTTTCCAATCTTTTGGTTAGTGCAGACATGGTTTGTTTGTTTTGTCAAGTGGTATGTTTGGGCTGGTTGGGTGGACCTTAGGGTGTGTGAAGGGAGGTCAAAGGAGATAGAAGGAATCACAGGAGCTCAGATGATAAGTATTGATAATTGCAGGCCATGCAGATACCATGTAGTCTGACCTGGTGACTAACATGATTATAGCCATGTGCTAAAAAAGGTGATGTTCTTTACCTTCCAGCTGCTACCCTCTGTCTCACCCATTGTCTTCACAGCCCAGTCCTGAAAGACTTGATTGAACTTTCTGTCTTTATTTTCTCAACTCACATTCAGTCTTCAAACCTTACACCTACCACTCCTCCTCGTTGCCTAACTCCTAATCAGTTTCTTGGTTGGCTTTGACCTTGTCAAGCTTGCCCTTCTTCTCTGGCCTCTCCTTCAGAGCCTCCTCTGTCCACTTCTCATCCCCTTAAATGTTGCCTGAGCTCTCAGCCCTCAGTCCTCAACCAGCTTCTCTTCTAACAAGCCCTCCCGAGCAGCACTGCTCCCTCCTGTTCTACCAGTGTGCCCGCCATGCTGCCAGTTTCCTCTGGCTTCAAAAGATTTAGGGCCCACATTTGACACCACAGTTTTCTATTGAGCCTTTGTTGTGCTAAACCAACTCTACTGTCATCTCATTTCCCACCTTCGTTTTCCTTTTGTCTTGTTTTATCATCTGTTTCTGAAGCTAACTGCAGATTGCTTTCTAAACCTTCCATACTTTCTGGAAGAAGGGAGGCACTAATAACACACGTGCACTGATAACTCCTAAAACTATGCCTCTGGCCCGAGCTCTGTCTAGGGCTGCATTGTCCACTATCAGAGTCTCTAGGCACACGTGGCTACCAAAATATGCATTCAATAAAATTCAGTTCCCCAGCCACACCCACCACATTTCCATGCCCAAGAGCTGCATCTAACTAGATGTGGCTCCACAGCACACTGGGCAGCACAAATCTATAGATTGTTTTCCTACTCAACAGAAGGTTCTTTTGGATAGCACTGGTCTAGAACCTAGAGACCACATTTCCAGCTGCAATAAGTTTTCATTTGAGTGTGTCTCATATACATCTCAAATCCAGCATTTCCAAAGCAGAACTTAGTATTTTTCACCAAACCCCCTTTCTCTTCCGTGAACTCTGCACTCTCGTCTCCCCAGGCACCCAAGTGAGAAGTCTCAGTGCCACTCTCATCTCTTTGCTTCCTCCTCCCTGTCCCAGTGGTTGTTGGGTCCAATCTTCATCAGCTGTCATATTTGCATCTCTCTTCTCTCCCATCCCGTCCAGTCTCTCCTGTCCTTCCTCAGCTCTAGCCCCCATTGCTTCTGACCTGGACTGTATCTGTCACATCCCAACTGAGCTCCCTGCTCTAGGTCTCCTAGAGTTTGTCCCCTGTTCACGCTGGGTCCACAGTGACCTTTCTCAAATAAACGTGATTGTTTTCCTGTCCTTTAAGAAGTCAGTGACTCCCCTGCCCACTGGATTCACCCAAAACTGTCAGTAGGCCTTCAAGGCCTGCCATGAACTGGCCACTACCTGCCTCTTTACTCCTTGCTTTCCTCTGGACACCAGCGTGCAAAGCTCCCTGATATTCACTCATCACACAACTCCACACCTCCAAAGCTGTGCTTTTACTGTGCCCCCATGTGGACTTGTGCTCCTTCCTGCCAGATACTTCTTCCTTTCTCAAAATGCATGTCAAGTTTTGCTCTCTCCCTGTACCTTTTCTAGCCCTGTGCCTGGGACAGAACTGACCACCCCCCACTCTTCACCCATACTGAGCCCAGCTATTCAGCTTTATTTGTTTATAGGCCTCTTTCCCCCTAGTTAGCACCTTAAAAGGCTGGGTCACAGTCTTTGGATCACTGGTACCTGGCACTCAGTAAATATACAAGAAAGGAAGAGAAGGAGGAAGAATCCTGACTAAGAAACCATCGCTCTGGGCGCGATGGCTCACACCTGTAATCCCAGTACTTTGGGAGGCTGAGGAGGGTGGATCACCTGAGGTCAGGAGTTTGAGACCAGCCTGACCAATATGGTGAAACCCCCTCTCTATAAAAAAAGAAAGAAAGAAACCATCGCAGTAGTAGGTTAAGAGAACAGAAGGGCCAAAGTCGTATGGTGAAGGCAGACCTGGAAAAGTGAGTCTCTGTGAACTTACACAACGCAAAAGAAATGGGCAGATTTGAAGTTGATGCTGAGGTTCGATTCTAAGGCCCTAGGAGAATGGTACACCCAATAACAGGTAAAAGGAGGACATAAGGAATTGGTTTTAAATGATAAAAATTATCCATTTGATTTTAGATAAGCTTATGGTGTCTCTAGTACGTTCAGGTGATAGGAGATGGAATTGAAACCTGGGGGCATAGGTAAAAATGAGAGTGATACGCTTGATGCAAAATGAGTTTTCCTCTCTCTTGCCAGAATATGAAGCTTTGCATAGTGCCACGTGGGAGGTGAGGAGTAAGGAAGGAAAGGACCAGACAACCTGGGGCTGGAGCACAGCGGCCACCTCTTGGAATAAGATCATCCTCAAATCTGTTTTATGTTTAGAGTTAAACATAAAATAGTTAAAGCCACAGATATGTTGCCAAATAAAAGAATTTAGAGAAAAATAAAGTTACTTGAGTCAAACTGTGGAAAGCCCAATTATTGTCACAAACTGGTAAGGGAAACACCATCCAAGTCAAGGATGGAGGAACCAGAACAGAAGGGCCAGCCAGGAGTCCAGACAAGCAGGCCCTAAGCAGAAGAACAAAAGTTGCTTCATTCCCAAACACAACAGGGCCCAGTCCCTGGGCTGTGGATGGCCCAAGATATAAAGTGGGATTCTTAAGAGTTGGGGCAAGAAGGGAGCCACGATGGCTCAGGCCAGTTGTCCTGGCGCTTGAGGAGGGGAGGCTACGTGTTTGAGTCTAGCCTGGGCAACATAAGAACTCTCATTTATTTAAAAAAAATTACTAATGAAAGTGGTTTAGTTGACAGTGAAAAAAAAAGAGTTGGGGCAAGAAACCTTAGACCCCAGGTCCACCCTGGGGAAGGCACTGGCAGGAACTAATAAGCAGGAGATCTTAATGGGATTCCTAAATGGATCACTTTAGGTCATGTTAAGAAGCTAAAATAGCTGCTAGGGGTTCACATAAAAGAATATTCCAGCCAGGCGCAGTGTTTTCAAGTAGTCCCAGCTACTTGAAAAGCTGAGGTGGAAGGATCACTAGAGGCCAGGAATTTGAGACGAGCCTGGGTAACATTGTGAGACCTAATCTCTTTAAAAAAATTGAAGAAAAGGGAATATTCCAATTAGCCCCCCACAAACAAGGTCATGTAGCCAGGCTAAAGCTTCTTGCCCAAGCAAGAGTTAGTCCAGGCCAGGAACCACAGGCAGAAGTCCTCGTGGCTGCTCAGACCTGGCTTTTTGCTGCCAAGCCTACAGGTGGCAGGTGGTTTTGGTGAGAGCTAGGGCAGGCAGGGGCACATGCGATGTGGGGCAGCAGCTGAAGCCGTAAGGGAAAGCCAAGAGAGGCAGGAGAAAGCCAGGGTCATGCAGCCTCATGCTGCACAGGGCTGTAGGGAGAGCCACATGGTTGGGACTTTAGATAATACATGTCAGGACTAAGGCTGTTTGTCTTGGGATTTAGAAGATGAACAGAGATTTTGGAGGGAAATTGTTGAGAAGTGGGATAGAGACCAAGCAGCCTGAAGAGGTGAGCAGATACAGGCCCAGAATATAAGCTGCTGTTAAGCAGTCATGAGTGAGAAACAGGTGAGAGAGGACTGAGGACGGTTGCTTGTGGTGCCCGAGACCTGAGCATTTTTCCAGGGCATGGAAAAGTGAATGCAGAAGGATGAAACTGATGAATGAAGGAAGAGAGGCCAGTGGGAGGGACACATAGCTATGGAGAATGTGGAATTCACAGCACAAGTGGTGGCATTTACAATCCTTTCCATCTAAGCAGAGGAACAGCTGGGGACATTTCTGAGCAGTAATGTCATAGAGGAGAGAGGTTAAGAAGCTCAGATCAGGTGGCCTCAGTCTTCTCTGTATAGCATTTGGTGATAACCATCAACTAAGGAAGATGACGAAGATTGAAAAAAGGTGGCAATTTGGACTGTGTCCATAACGGATCCAGGGAAAGGATTAAAAGGCCAGAATGCAGTCACCGGCAGGCAGCACCCCAGTATGTCAGTGGCACATGCTTCCAAATGAAGGTAATTTCTAAAAGACATGCAGAGTTATAGTTGCACTTTAAAGGACATTGGGGCTTAGAGAGAGGATTCATTTTAAATTGTAAAATGAACTAACATTTGAGAAAGGCATTTTCATTCTCACAGTAATGCCATAGAACAGTAGTATAGCTATTCCCATTTTTTAAATGGGCATCAAGAACATTGAGTGACTTTCCAAGTGTCACATAGTGGCATAATCAGAGTACAATTAGGGCCATGCCCATACATCACATTGCCAGTGATTACCCAAGGAAAGTGACATACATGTGAGGAGGAAGAACATTAAAAAGGTTAAAACAAGCTCTTGGACTTTACAGAATTTTCCCTTACTGCTTAGAGCTCTTATCACTACATCATGAACCGTTCATCTGTCTGTGGATGAAATGTCTAAATGCCACTTAATTTTCATATAGCAAAGAAAGCTAAAATGTGTTTTTAAAGATTGCCAAAATATATGGAAATTTATGTTTTAATTTATTAAATGTCAAGTTTCTGTTGAGCATTTTCTTCCATTTGCTGCTGCATGAGTCACATACCAATTAGAAACCAAACTTTTGGAGTTCGTAGTCACTCCTCTTGAATTGCTGACTGGCACATTTGTGGCCATTGAGACACTTCTGTTTTTCCTAGCTTTCTTTGGTTTTAAATATTTATTCTGCTTGGGTTTTTTTAAAGAATTGCCATTCAATAATGATGGCTTGGCTTTGTCTCTCCTTGTAATCATTTGTTTGTTCACGGAGAAGCATCTGTTTCCAATACAGCATGCGTCACACGTCGACACATCATTCATTGTTGCATTACAGAATTTAAAGTCAGGCCTGTCGTTATTTTTTGGTGAATGTATGGACTGGAGTGGATTTCCAGGAAGGATGAATCATGTTATTAAATGAATGCTCGTTGGGAGGTGTGTGGAGCATTATTCTCAGCTGCAGCATGCAGTTCTCTGGCAGTTTGCTTTGCGAGCATGTCTTCTTCGTCTAACAACAGTTGTATTCTCAAAAGGCTAGAGAGAGAGGAATTGAAAAGAAAGGCAGAGAAGGAAAGGCTTCGCCTAGAAGAGGAAGCCCGAAAGCAGGAAGAAGAAAGGAAGCAGCAGGAAGAGGAAAAGAAGAAACAGGAAGAGGAAGAGAAAAGAAAGGCAGGCGAGGAGGCCAAGCAGAAGGCTGAGGAGGAGCTGTTGTTGAAAGAAAAGCAAGAAAAGGAAAAGCAAGAACAAGAAAAGCAAGAGAAAGCCATGATTGAAAAGCAGGTACTGTACAAGTCCTCAGATGGACTTTCCTTATTTTTTAAGGGCCTTGATAGTAGGTATACTTAGTTAAATTTCAGTGACTCATAATCGTTACTTGAAGTTTTTTCTTAAACTGTCTGGACTGGTTATTAACTGTAAGTTAGGGCAGTCGCAGTGAAGTTGGTCATGTTTGCCATCTGTCAGTTTGGGTTTCCCCAAAGGCAAACCCTAGGATAAGAATTTTAGTGCCAGCAGTTTTTTTTTTTTTTTGTTTTTGTTTTTTTGCAAGGGAATCCCAGGAAGCTGGTAGAGGAATAGGAGAAAAGCCAATTTAAGTCCATTGATGCATTTGTCTTTTTTGTTTTTTTTGTTTTTTAAGATGGAGTTTCGCTCTTGTTACCCAGGCTGGAGGGCAATGGCGCAATCTCGGCTCCCCTAAACCTCCACCTCCTGGGTTCAAGCAGTTCTCCTGCCTCAGTCTCCTGAGTAGCTGGGACTACAGGCGCGTGCCACCATGCCCAGCTAATTTTTGTATTTTTAGTAGAGACGGGGTTTCACCATGTTGACCAGGATGGTCTTAATCTCTTGACCTTGTGATCCACCCGCCTCGGCCTCCCAAAGTGCTGGGATTATAGGCGTGAGCCACTGCGCCCAGCCGATGCATTTGTTAACTGTGAGTGATTGGAACACAGTCCCATTGGGAACCTCTGAGAGACAGTGGATCATGCTTTAGAATTGTCCAGCTGCGAGATGAGGAAACTGAACTACTGATTGACCACATCCTCTCCCTTATTGGAGAAGGTCACTCCTTGGGGAATTAACTCTCTGATCTGGCCATGTGCACACTTCATGGCCCAAGCCTGCCCGCAGACACAGAAAGGCCTTCTCCATGTACGAGAAATGTCTGCAGGTGAATTGCATGATGAGCTAGGGGTATATGAATGAGGTCCAACCATGTTTGCTGTGTGACATACAGTGGTTTGTATAAATCCACATTGAATACTGGAGCAACATCCACTTTAGGGCAGATGATGAGATGAAGGAACATGTCCAAAGCCAGAGAATTGCCACACTGTTTTCTTAGCTTAATAAAGCTTTGCCTTGATTTACCCGTTTCTATTAGAAAGAAACAGCAGAAGCAAAGGCCCGGGAAGTAGCTAAACAGATGCGTCTAGAAAGAGAACAGATTATGCTGCAGATTGAGCAGGAGCGACTGGAGAGAAAGAAGGTAAGGGCTGAGGGATCAGAAAGACTTAGGGTAAGTGACCAGGAAGTGAATCCAGTTCTGTTCTGTGGTGATTGGATAGAATTCTCAGTTAGGTCAAGTTCATTGATACTACTGTTCAAATCTTCTATGTCTTTATTAGTTTTCTGCCATCTCATTCTATCAGTTATTGAGAAAGATTGTTAAAAACTCCATCTGTGCCCAGGCACGGTGGCTCATACCTGTAATCCCAGCACTTAGAGAGGCAGAGGTGGGAGGATCACTTGAGCCCAGAAGTTCAAGACCAGCCTGAGTAATACAGTGAAATCTTGTCTCTACTAAAAATACAAAAAATAGGCAGGTGTGATGGCATGTGCCTATAGTCCCAGCTACTTAGGAGGCTGAGGTGGGAGGATCACCTGAACTTGGGAAGTCAAGCCTGCGGTGAGCCAAGATCATGCCACTACACTCCAGCCTGGGCAACAGGAGTGAGACCCTGTCTCAAATAAAAGAAAAAAAAACACAACTCCATCTGTGATTATGGATTTGCCCATTTTTTCCTTTCAGTTATGTCAGGTTTTATGATATATATATTTATCGTGATATGCCTTTCTTTGTCTCTAGTGATGTTTCTTGTCTCTACTTTGACAGCCCTTTATTTTTTTGAGACAGAGTCTCACTTTGTTGCCAAGGCTGGAGTTTGGTGGCATAATCTCGGCTCACCCCAACCTCCACCTTCCTGGTTCAAGCAATTCTCCTGCCTCAGACTCCCAAGTAGCTGAGATTACAGGAGTGTACCACCACACTCAGCTAATTTTTGTATTTTTAGTAGAGATGGGGTTTCACCATGTTGGCCAGGCTGTTCTCGAACTCCTGAACTCAATGGATCCTCCTGCCTTGACCTTCCAAAGTGCTGGGATTATAGAAATGAGCCACTGCGCTTGGTCTGACAGCCTTTTTATGATTAGTGTCTGTATGTCAAATCTTTTTCACCCTTCTACTTAAAACTTCTGTGTGTTTTTATAAGTAAAGAGCATATAGTCAGGATTTGTTATTTTAATTCTGTTTGACAGTCTTTGTCTTTTAATTGGAGTGTGTAGTCCATTTACACTTAGTATGCTTATGGATAAAGTTGGGTTTAAGGAGGCTGATTATAAAGGTGTATTCTCATGATGTCCTAGGCCCAACCTGGGCTTTGTATTGCTGTAGGCCTGGGACCCGGGAGACCAGGCTGGGACCTGGAAGACCAGCCTGTGGCCTTCTCTCCTGAGATGCACCTTAGCCTCACTTTCTGTAGGATAGTCCTCTTTAATGGCAAGTGGTAATTTGTTGATTTTTAGGGAACCTAAGGAGAAGAAGGAGAAATGTGGGATGTAAATTGAATATTGATTCTAGATACGTATGAGTTAACTTTTCAAGCATTTAACCTTGTCCATGGGGCCAGAGGTGTACATCTCCAAAACCAGTGGAAAACCTTTCTATACTTGTTATCCTCTTCTGACATTTGTCTTTTACAGGTTTTCTGAGAAATGTGAAATTGCATGTAGACCAAGCTACTTTTATGTTTTTAGTCTTATAGTCCTCTTACTTGGTTTTTTTGTTTTTTGTTTTTAGAGAATAGATGAAATCATGAAGAGAACAAGGAAAAGTGATGTGTCTCCAGAAGTGAAGGTAGGAATTCAAATGACCATTTTAATAGTTTATGTACTAAGGAGAAAAGACAGAATACACTCAGTGAAATCGTAGGTCTTGGAGAGGATTAGCCAGAAAAAAATGGACTCTTCCTGCTTTGTTCCTGGCTAGGTTAAGTGAGGGTAGGTACTTGAAAAGAAAGAGGTGTGTCAGAGCCAGGCGCAGTGGCTCACACCTGTAATCTCAGCACTTTGGGAGGCCAAGCCGGGCAGATCATGAGGTCAAGAGATTGAGACCATCCTGGCCAACATGGTAAAACTCCATCGCTATTAAAAATACAAAAATGAGCTGGGTGTGGTGGTGTGTGCCTGTAGTCCCAGCTACTTGAGAGGCTGAGGCAGGAGAATTGCTTGAACCCAGGAGTTGGAGGTTGCAGTGAGTCAAGATGTTGCCCCTGCACTCCAGCCTGGCGACAGAGCCAGATTACATCTCAAAAAAAAAAAAAAAAAAAAGGTGGGGTTTTGGAGATGGGATGGGTAAAAGGTTTCCTTAGAGTAATGGCTGGTGGGGGGGGTGGGATGAAGGGAGAGGCATAGTAGTCCATGAATAAAAAAAGAGAATGCTGATGTAAAAATACATAAGAATAAGGGAAACACAGCTGAAGATTTAAAGAATTACCACAGAACAGATAGATGGTCTAGCCAGGCTCAAAATATCATCGGATGCTTTTATTTTATTTATTTATTTTTTTGAGACAGAGTTTCGCTCTTGTTACCCAGGCTGGAGTGCGATGACACGATCTCGGCTCACCACAACCTCTGCCTCCTGGGTTCAGGCAATTCTCCTGCCTCAGCCTCCTGAGTAGCTGGGACTACAGGCGCGTGCCACCATGCCCAGCTAATTTTTGTATTTTTAGTAGAGCCGATGTTTCACCTTGTTGACCAGGATGGTCTCGATCTCTTGACCTCGTGATCCACCTGCCTTGGCCTCCCAAGGGATTATAGGCGTGAGCCACCGCACCCAGCCCGGAAGCTTCTAAAAAGCACTTGTGTTTCTGTGTGATGTCAGCCTTCCCTCATTTCATTCACCTTCCATTTATTTTCAGAAAGAAGACCCCAAAGTGGGGGTTCAGCCTGCTGTGTGTGTGGAAAATAAGAAAAAACCAGTTGTCCCCAGCAAAATGGGTGAGTGTGAGGTCTGTTTCTTGGGTTCTTCCTTTTAGTAGCAAGGGCTCGTAAGACTTCCTGCAGGAGAAACAGACCCATGGAACCCAAGAGGGTGACTGCTGGCAGGGGCCTGTGCAGGTTCCCTTTCCTGGGAATGTCTCTCCAGCACAGGAACTGTCAGCTCACTTGGGAACCAACTGCATTCCTTGGTTATTCCAATAATCTCAGCATAGGAGACACTCTGGCTGCTGGCTCACGGTGCTTTCCAGGGAGCTTAACTGCTGGTCAGGTTTTATTACTATTAGGACCTGATTCTGCTGTCTCTGCTCTTCTCCAGAGGTTCTGCACAGACACTAATAATGTGATTTGTCTTCTCTTCCCCTGTGTAAAGGTGATTACATGGGGTTATTTGTGGCTCTTTCCAAAAAAGATGCACTATTAGTGAACCAGAGCATTAAATTAGCTGCTTTGATCTATATTTCCCTGTTACTTTATTTAGACATTTTATGATTAACACAAGGACTTTGTGTTCTCGATCAGAAATCAATGGATTGAACACCTGCCAGAAAGTTAATGGTGTGGGTCACGCTGCCCCAGAAACTTATCCCCAAGACATTTTCTCTAATGGGCTTAAGCCAGCTGTGGCACTTGTTCATCTAGATGCCCTTGATGGGAAATCAAACAGTCTGGATGATTCAACTGAAGAAGTTCAGTCTATGGATGTGAGGTATACTCATTTCTTTTGCCTTTAAGCCTCGTCGCGTCTCCAAACACTACCCTTTCTTTTAGTTGGTTTCTTAATCTTTTACAACCAAATCACCTAAAGCAGATTTGATTGACATTACAGGAAAGCTGTCACTGCTATAACATACTAGTGTCTTGCGTCAGGTTCCCTAGAAGCAGAGCCTGGAAGAGAGTTTCTAGGGCATATGATGTGTAGAGGAAAACTCTTGGGAGTTTTTCGGGAGAAAGGGGAAGGAAGGAAGTCACTAAGCAAGGATGCCATCTCAGCTGATCCCATGGGAGCTCTGGAGGATGAATTTCCACCAGAGACAGTTGCTCTGAGCTTCTACAGTTCTGGTTTTTCTAGATTCTTCTCTAAGATCTCACAAGAAAAAGAACCTGACAGCAGCCTTACTCTAGCTGTTAAGAAATTCCTGGTGGCAGACCCTCAGCCTACCACTCTTCAAAGCCTGGATTTACTTCTTTGCTGAACTTAGAGCTGGCACAATTATGAAACTCCTCCTTCCATCTCTAGGGAGAGGAAGAAAGAGAGAAAAAGGAAACCAGGCTTGGCTGGATGGAGCTGGATAAGTCAGAGTGGATTGGAAGCTTTGCTTTAGAGAGGAAGCAGAGGGTGAGATTGGCGCTGCCAGTGATGAGGTGGGCTGTGGCGGGATCCTTTCATGATGCCCCCCCCAACCTTCACTGAGCACTTCAGACAATTCTACATGAACTCTTCTCAGCACAATCTGATTCACGCTCACAGGGGCCCTGGCAGGGAGAATCGATTGTTCCCATTTTACAGGCGAAGAAACTGAGACTGCAGGGAGGAAAAGTAATTTGTCCAAGGTGGTACTATTAGAATGGCAGCACTGGGACCCCCAGTGTTAATTAGAGCTTTTCTTCAGCTTGCCTTGAACTTTTGGCATTGGCTTTCTGTCTGAATGTCCCATTTCGAAAGTTCGGTAAGTGCCTTGCTTCCTTGTAATAGAATGCTGGTGTCTGTGGGTTTTTATCCTTTCACCCTTTGGGCAATGTGAGCTTGGCCATCACAGCCCTGCTCAGTCTGCTTCCCTGTTCTCATACATGGGGCCTTATGTCCACCATCTGTCCTTCTCAGATTTGAACCCAATTCGTGTATTACACAAAAACTCTTAACTCTAAATCCTTTTCTGAAAGAGTAGTATAAAAAAATATTACAAATAGAATTAATATGTTGTTCTCTCTCTCTCTCTCTCTCTCTCTCTCTCTCTCTCTCTCTCTCTCTCTCTCACATTCATCTCTTCTAGTCCTGTTTCAAAAGAAGAGCTTATCTCTATCCCAGAATTTTCACCAGTGAGTGAAATGATTCCTGGGGTGTCTCTCGACCAAAATGGAACTGGTAATGCCCGAGCACTTCAAGATCTCTTAGATTTCACTGGTCCCCCCACATTCCCCAAGAGATCCAGTGAAAATCTCAGCCTGGACGACTGTAATAAAAACCTTATAGAAGGATTTAACAGTCCTGGCCAAGAAACTCCTCTCAACACCTTCTGTTGACAAATACAGCATCCATTTAATGAAAGGTACAGTCTTTTGATCATATTCTAACTTTATAACCCTTTAACTGTAGTTTGTGAAGATAGAATGTACATCACTCAGCCTCTTGGATGGTCAACTTTTATTTGAAAAATGCAAACATGAATATATTATGGTATACTACAGCAAGAACTGAGACAAATTTCAGGTAATTCATTTGCGAGCCTTCAGCACTGAGCTGCCCTGTCCTAACCCTGCTGTTTGGGGTGTGTGGATGGGAAGGTTGAAAAGCACCAGCTAAAGGTTTTACTACCAATCCACCCTGAGAAGCCTTTTTAGGGGCAAGGAAAGAAAACTCTAGTAGTGTCGCAAGGTGATATTAGTCAGAGGAATTTCCCCACTTCTGGTTTTGCTCAGTGACGTCCCACATTCTATCTAGAATCAGTCATATACATTGAGCCGCATGATTTGCTATTCTCTTGACCCATTCTGGATTCTTCCAAAGCAGACATCTGTTCCTGGATCATACCTGAGGGAAAGAGAACTACAATTTGTGTCTTGAAGGTTTTTCCCCTCCCTTTGACCTTTTTCCTTGCCAAATTGCTTCCAGAAGCTATTCTCATTTGAGTAAGAATATCTATGAGGTATATACACTCTGTAGTAAGGTATACTTAATAATATATACCTCATATTTGATTTACTTCAGTTTGGGGCTTGTTTTTGAGTGAGGAAAAGATAATTAGTCTGTCACCAAATCCTTTAATAATTTAATAATCCCAGTTGCTCCTCCCTCTTTAGATTCTGTTTTTGTTTTCAGGAGAAGGGGTCTCACTCTGTTGCCCAGGCTGGTGTGCAGTAGTGTAATCCCAGCTCACCGAAACTTCAAACTCCTGGGCTCAGGAGATCCCCTTGCCTCAGCTTCCTGAGTAGTTGGATTACAGGCACATGCCACCAGGCCCGGCTAATTATTTTTTAGGTTTTGTAGAGGTTGGGTCTTGCTGTGTTGCCCAGCTGGTCTTAAACCCCTGGCCTCAAGCGATCCTCTCTCCTTGGCCTCCCAAGCACTGAGATTACAGCCATGAGCCACCATGCCTGGCATCCATTTTAGATTCTTAAAAACGTTTTTATATTCTCAGCATTCTCTCAGTCACTTTATTTTTTATACTCCACTCCCATAACAAATTCAGTGGCCAAAAGAACTTACTTCAACGTTTTTATTTTTCAAATGAGGAAGCAAGTTGGCAAGGCTGCAGAGCTGAGGTCACTGTACTTTTTGTGTGCTTGTTTCTACCATAAGTTCGACAGCCCATTTCTCTTGGTTCTTGGTGTGTGGTGGGTCACTTTTAGAGTAAGCTGTGTCACTGGTTTGGAAAAGCAGCTGCCTTCTTGGACACTTAAAACACTAGTTCACCTGAGTATTCTATTTCTCTGACAGTTACGTGGCTTAATATTTATTAAGAGGTTTCTTGTGTTTTTAACATACTTTGACTTTAAAATTCGCTTCCCTTCAGTTCACTTTCCTCACTATCCAGTAATGAACAGAGAATCCACAAACTTTATGAGAGTATTCACAGGTCCTCAAATTTATTTCTTACATCGCTAAAAGAAATGCAAAACCCCTATCCAAAAAGAAAAATCTTTACCAAATCATTTTATTCACACTGCTTATATATTTTTAATTATATTTGGTCTAATTCTCAAATTCTTCTCTACCAAAAGTGCTACCACCCCCACCAGGGGACGTTTGGGCATGTGTTGGGTTTTGTTGCCAGAGTGGCTGGGGGCATTTGGAAGACGAAGCTTGCGACATTAAACATCTGCAGGTTTTGTTGTTTTTTTTTTTCTTTAAGATGGGGTTTCACCATATTGGTCAGGCTGGTCTCGAACTCCTGACCTCAGGTGGTCTGCCCACCTCAGCCTCCGAAAGTGCTGGGATTACAGGTGTGAGCCACCATGCCCGGCACATCTGCAGGTTTTAGGAAAGTTCCGCACAAGGAAAATTTGACCCACCTAAGAGAATAATACTATGCAAAATACTGTATCACTTCTGTTGAGAAATACTATATAAGCCAAGGAGGAAAATATAATTACCAAGAAGGTAGAAAGTCCCACAGTGTGTTGTGATCATTTTGGTGAGAGGATAGGTGCTGCAGACTGCAGAATGCTTGGTTTCCCTTTGATCTCATCTGGTTTTGTTTCTGAATTGACACAGGTGTTTGGAGAACCAGTAAAGCCGCTGCCAGCCATCTGAAGAAGCTTCTGACACCCTTACCGCTGGATCCCAAATTATTAGCTCGGAATGTGATTGTATTCCTAAGTAGTATGTCTAACACTGGCCATTCTTGTTAGAAACCTTGAGACTTTCACCTTGTTGGGCTTTAGCAAAGTTTCCTTTTACAGTTCTGTTTTTGAGCTTCAGCTGCTGATAAAGCACTTCCTGTACCTCTCTATTATCATAGTGACCCTCTGAATAACCTGAGTGACTGGCTCAGCAGTTCGCTTTATAACCATTCTTCTTCCCAAAGTCGGAGCACATAAACATTTAGATGTCTTTTCCTGTAAAATATTCTAGACATTTACCCAAGCTCTAGTTAAACATATACTCGGCTTGCGCCGTATATATCTCCCTGTCGTTTTTGAGACAGAGAAGAAATTCAGGAGGTCCTCCATCTCCAGAGTTTCTATATTGGAAGGCAGTATCAAGAAGCCTTTAAAAAATTATTGTTCAGCTTTGCCACCTACAAAAATGCATTGCCCCACATTATTCTTTTGGGGTTAAAGTAGTAAGTTTGGCTGAGGAAGAAAGTCAAAACAGTCAGTAATGATTTCTGTTCTCTTATGCATATTTGTGTATACGTGGCAACTGAATCTAGCAAGGACTCTTTCATGTCACACCTTAAAATCTTCACACGGTAGTCACTCCAGACCACAGCGTGGCTTTCCTAATGACTTCTGTCTTGTGTGCAGGTGGTTGGTTTTCATGTTGTTGCTATTTTTTTTTCTATTGGATCTTGGAAGTTTTCTTTGTTTATTTGCTCCTGTATTTGCCCAGCTTTAATAAAACTAGGCACAAATGAAAATCATAGCGTTCTGAAACAATAGGGGGCCCATACTGAACCCAGTATGTCACTTTCAACCTTAAGAAAACACCCGAATGCGAAAAATGACACTAAAATGTATACTCATCACATTTTATGCCATATAATGGCATGTTTTCTTAATTTTGTTTCTTGTGGTGAAATGTGGCTTTCAGATTAAAATGACCTCTTCTTCTCTGAAACTTTTTGTTTTGACTGGTATAATTAAGGGTTTAGAAAGATTCATAATTCTGAGAGAGGTTTGCAACCAGGAGATAAAAAGAAGTCTCAGTAGTAATCTTGTTCATGTGCTTGTATAGCCAGCTACATTTAAGAATGTATTAGTTAAGGAAACTGTGCGTCTGCGTGTATGTCTATACTCAATAAAATACATGCCTCCACATAATGCGGTGTTGTCCATCTTGGCGAATACTGGTGAAGTCCCTTCCTGACAAGCACACAGAAACCATAGCATGGTCTGGCTTTCAAAAAATGCCTCTCATTTTTCCTAAAACCTTATTTTGCTAAACGTCTGTTGTCTTGTGATTTGTTGTACCTCACAACACCATTGTGACCGTAGTGATGCCTCATTTGCATGATATATACATTGTGTTTAATGTGAAATACATTTTCATTGAAGAGTCTGATGACTTGCTAGCGTTTTATTTTTTCTGTAAGCTCATTGTGCTGAAACCAAACCAGGTTTTTAAAAACCCATGTGGAAGAAAACCAAAATCTCCTGTATGGATATCCTTTCCCTGTCATACTCATTCAAAATTCCTTTGTTGCCAGTGCCAAGTGGAGTCAACTGCATAAAGCTTATTAAGTGATGGATTATCCCTAGAATACAATGGACTTCTAGGTATAGCAAAAAGTTGCTGTTCTTTTTTTTTTTTTTTTTTGGTAGAGACAAGGTCTCACCATGTTGCTGAAGCTGGCCTCCTAGTCTCAAGTGATTGATCCTCCTGCCTCAGCCTCCCAAAGTTCTGGAATTATAGGCATGAGCCACTACACTCAGCCAAGTTCCTGTACTTTCATACCACTGGTGCAAGGGCTTTCTAGCTAAGAAACAGTTAGCCTTACCATAATCTATGAGAACATTGCACATAGCAATTTGGCATTTAAATAATATTATAATGGGAGTATTGATGCTTATGTTGAGGTAAGCTGAAACCCAGACCAGTTTTTTTGTATCTAACTCACAGGCTTGTCCACTGCCTGGGAGATGGTACCAGGCCAGACCAGAAATCAGGTGGGCAGGACTGGAATTAGAGACCCTTGTGGTAACTTCTGGGCTGCCATCTCTGAAGCTGAGGGCCCAGTCATTACTGCCTTCTCTAGTTCTGCTGACAAAGCCTCTGGTCAGGGCACAGGAGCAGACACTATTTCCATATGCAGGCCTCTGGAAGGGGTATTAGAAGCAGCTTATAGCATCATGAGCTCTGGCCATAGGGCCTACATTGGTGGCCAGTCATTCCTAAGAACAATTTCTTGTTTGTGAACATTGCAAATTTTTTTTAGTAGGTACAGGATTCCTGTTAGATGCTTTTGTTAATTTAGAAAGCACATGTAAAGGACTCATTCATTTCAAGAGGTATATCCATTACATTGGGGCACAACACAGGGTGACCTCCATACCCATTCCTCAGCATTGTTAAGAAAGCACAGTTATGGGCTGGGTACAGTGGCTTACACCTGTAATGCAAGCACTTTGGGAAGCCAAAGCAGGAGGATCGCTTGAGGCCAGCGGTTCGAGCCAGCCCGGGCAACAAAGCAAGACCTCCGTTCTCTATAAAAAATTTCAAAACCGTAGCTGACCATGGTGGCACACACCTGTAATCCTAGCTACTTGAAAGTGTAAGGCAGGAGGATCACTTGAGCCCAGGAGCGCAAGACTGTAGTGAGCTATGATCACAGCACTGCACTCCAGCCTGGACAAAAGACATCGTCTCTTTTTAAAAAGCACAATTATGTAAGAAAATTAAGAGCTCTTAGAAATGGGAAGCCTCACAAATGCTCTTTTTTCTGGAAACCCATGAAAAACTTAGAATGATTTCACAAGCAAGCCAACTATCAAAGAAGAATTAATAGTTTTCTTTGCGGGAGCACAGGGCCAGGCTGGAGTGTAGTGGCATGATTATAGTTCACTGCAGCCTCGAACTCCCGGGCTCAAGTGATTCTCCTGTACCGGCCTCCTGAGTAGCTAGGAATACAGGTGTGCCTCACCATGCCCAGCTACCTTCTTTTAAATTTTTATGCAGAGACGAGGTCTCACTGTATTGCCCAGGATGGTCTTGAACTGGGCTCAAGCGATCCTCCCACCTTGGCCTCCCGACATGCTGAGATTACAGATGTGCACCACTATGCCTGGCCAGACAAGTCTTTTTCTTGCATATCAGCAATAAACAGGAAATAGATTCCAACAAAAACCGTAAAATTTATAGAAATAAAAACTAGCTAAAATTAGAAGAATGTTAGAATTAGTGAATAGAAAGACATGCCATGCCCCTGAATGGGACATCCTGTGCATGTGAAGAAGGCTCATTCTAGGTAGCACTCACATTGGTTCCAGTCAATGAGATTTCATTTTGGCAACTTGAAAATATAATTGCACAGTTCATTTAAGAAACTAAACACAGCGGGTGCGGTGGCTCACACCTGTAATCCCAGCACTTTCCAAGGCTGAGGCGGGCAGATCACCTGAGGTCAGGAGTTTGACACCAGCCTGGCCAACATGGTGAAACCCCATCTCTACTAAAAATATTTAAAAATTAGCTGGGCCTGGTGGCACATGCCTGTAATCCCAGCTACTCAGGAGGCTGAGGCTGGAGAATCTCCTGAATCTGAGAGGCGGAGGTTGCAGTAAGCTGAGAATGCACCATTGCACTCCAACCTGGGCAACTGAGTAGACTCCATCTCAAAAAAAAAAAAAGTGAACACAAAGCCAAGAAACCTAGGAATTTTTAAAAAAGCATTTCCCCCAACAAATAGTAAAATATATGATAAAACTTCCATAACTGAGATGGTATTCTGACAGAGAAATAGAATTTGGAATAGCTATAGAGATCAGACATACCCAAGATCCATAAGAATCGAAGGCATGATGGGGTTGGGTGTGGGTCATTGTACCTGTGGAGAGGTAGCAGGTATCCTGTCAACTGAGTTTTTTTAATTGTTGGGGGTTTTTTTTTTGAGACAGTATCTTACTCTATACCCCAGGCTGGGGTGCAGTGGCTTGCTTTTGGCTCAGTGCAAACTCCTCTCAGTTTCAAGTGATTCTCCCGCCTCAGCCTCCCGAGTAGCTCGGATTACAGGCGCCCACCACCACACCCAGCTAATTTTTGTATTTAGTAGAGACGGGGTTTCACCATATTGGCCAGGCTGGTCTCAAACACCTGACCTCAAATCATCTGCCTGCCTGAGCCTCCCAAAGTGCTGGGATTATAGGTGCGAGCCACTGCATCTGGCCGTCAACTAAGTTTAGAATCTCTGATAGGGTAGGGACAGGGGCCCAGAAGTCACAGTGAGGAAATGATAAAGACAGCAAAGGGATCCAAGGTAAGGGTACCACTCATCGATCGATGTTAAGTCAGGGGCAAAATAATATGCAAGGCTTGGGAGCATCCTCTAAAGATCCTGAGCTGCCAGGCACCCCTGGGATGTGCCAGGCTCTCAGGAAGTGGGGAGCAGCAGGCTTCTGCTTGCCATGCTCTAGGCTTCTGCGGCAGTGGACCATGATAGACAGTGTATACTGAATTGTTAAAGATTTCATGCTTTGAGGTAGGTATGAGATGGTAACTTCCCCAAGGACCCACACAGCTGGAACTTGGCAGAGCTGGCTGTGACTCCAGGGACCCAGCTATCTCTCTCTCTCTCTCTCTCTCTCTCTCTCTCTATCTATCTATATATATATATATATAGATAGATAGATAGATAGATAGATATAGATATATATAGATATAGATATATGTGTGTGTGTGTGTGTGTGTGTGTGCATATATATATATATATACTTTTTTTTTTTAGAGACACATTCTCCCTGTGTTGCCCAGACTAGTCTCGAACTCCTGGGCTCGGGCGATCCTCCCACCTTGGCCTCCCAAAGTGCTGGGATTACAGGCACAAACCACTGCGCCCGACTTCCAGGACCCCAGCTTTAGTACCCAGGAGAAGTTGCCAGGCTTTTCTGCCCCTAGAGCAGCAAAACTCTTGCTAGGGGGTAGGCAGGGCAAAAAAAAAAGTCTTGCTAGAGCAGGCACTTATAAAAGGAGTAACAAAGGGCCAGGACCCTCATGGAAACTCCTAGTTCTGAAAGTGCTTGAAAATAAATATTGAGGCCAGGCGCGGTGGCTCACGCCTGTAATCCCAGCACTTTGGGAGACTGAGGTGGGTGAATCACCTGAGGCCAGGAGTTCAAGACCAGCCTGACCAATATGGTGAAAGCCCATCTCTACTAAAAATACAAAAATTAGCTGGGCATGGCGGCATGCACCTGTAATCCCAGCTACTCGGGAGGCTGAGGCAGGAGAATTGCCTGAACCCGGCAGGTGGAGGTTACAGTGAACCAAGGTTGCACCACTGCACTCCAGCAATCCAGGCTGGATGAGAATCCATCTCAAAATAGATAGGTAGATAGACAGAGGATATAGAGAGATATATATTCTTAAATATATTGACATATTAAAATTTATCTTAAGTATACAATACAGTGGTCTTTAGTCACAAAGTTGTGCAACCATCACTACTAATTCTAGAACGTTTTTACCCGAGTGCTTTTTCAAGGTTTGTCATCATTCTAGTCAAAGCAGCAGAGCTCGGCTTTATCAGTCATTAGTTCAAGTTCCCGTTGTACCTGAAAGCAGGAGCAGGAGGTTCAAAGATGGCATTCTTCTTTGAAGCAGTCATTCCCCATCTTCTCCCTTTCGATAGGCCGGATTAGGACAATGTTGATGTCACAGTCAGTGTGGGCTGTTTTGGGTTGTTCCACACTCACTTCATAAACACAGACTCACCCCCCAGATGCTCAGCATGGGTTCCTAGGTTGACGAGAAACATGGATTGGGTGAAGCTGTTATTTAAGACACTGAAAATTCTGAACTTTTGGAGACATGGCTTTAACAATGACCATGGATTCTGGCATGGGGTGACTTAAACTGTGACTCTATTTGCCCTTGTGTTTCTGGGACACATCCCTCAAGCTAACTACTAGGGAGGGAGTGTTTCAGTGCCCTCTTTTTTCCCTGTAGGGTCAAAGCCAAGGTCAATGGCAAAGGGGACTCATGGCACTGTGGAAGGAAATCAACTACTGCCCAGAGCCTGAGGGTCCCCTTGCAAAAGGCAGAGGGAATTGAAAAGTTGCAGGTGTTGCACCAGGAGGATTCACCCCCTTCCCCTCCATCCATGCTCTGCAGTAAATCAACAAGAACCTCCAGCCGAGGCTTCTACTGCTGCAGTTAACCGTTCAACTGGCATCAAGTGATTGGGGCCGGGGGAGTGTCTTAAGCTGCCGGTCTTCTGGACCTCCACGGAACAATGAAGGCAGGCTTTCCCGAGCTCACCTATCTCAGGAAATGCAAGGAATAGAGTTCCAAGCAATTGAACCTTGCAGAAAGTAACTATAGAATTAGAGCTAGCAGCAATTTGT